AAAATCAAAACAGAAGGAAAAAAAAACCTGGTTGGGGAGGATCTCTATAATGGATAATTAAGGATGTAATAGATCAACTGAGAGGCTAATTTCAATGACTTTTCTGCTAAAAAAAATTAGCTTCTAATTATCTAAGAAAACAGAACTCAAGGGAAAAAACATAGACCTTCTGAGAAGATGCTATAATTTTACTGTTTGGTTTAATTATTTTAAATTAAAAAAAAAAAACCAAAATCTCCAGCTGTATGCAAGTAATTGATTTAAAGACTGTGATAGATCTTTTATAATAGGTTGGCATAAATAGCCTTGAAATCTATGATTTTGAGTCGACAATCATGCCTTCTTTCAGATCAGAGGCATTAAAAGACTGTTGGTTCTTTGTTGAAACCTTCCTCACCCATCTGCTATTCTATTTAGAAAGAATGGGAGAGAAGAGGCATGATAAATCTGCCACTTTTCCCTGACTAAGATGGGAGCAAAATGAGTGGGTCAAAAAGGTGTCAACACTATTTACTAACATCTGCATCCGTGAAAGTAAAGAATGCTCATTGCAATGTAAATATTCCACTTTCTTCTATTTCTCTCCTTAAGTTTGAGTTGCTTGACATTTGGCGCTGAGATTTTAAATAATGTAAAACAGGTTTAGTTGAACACTATCACAATAAATTCCAAATGGATAAGTGATCTAAATAAAAAATTCACGGCATAAGAAAATTATAGGAGAATGGAAGACAGGGTCTTTCACAGCTTTGGTTAGGGGAAGAATTCATGATTAGGAAAGGGAAAGAGGTGGTTATGAAAGACAAAACAGGCCATTTAGATACACTAAACTGAAAACCTTTGCACATGCACAAAATCAGTGCAGTGAGAAGACAAGTAATGATGGATTAGGGAAAACCACCTTTGTATCAACTACCGCTGATAAAAATCTGACATCTAAAATCCACCAGGAATTAATGCAAATCTGTAAGACAAGCATCACTCTCCAAAAGACTAAGTGGCCAAAGGCAATGAACAGCTTTGAAAATGACAACTGCAAATTTTTGACTACCTTATTGAAAATACTTCAGATCATTGGTAAGAAAAATGCAAATCAAAACAACACCTCTTACTGGTCAAACTGGCAAAGATGATTTATTTTTTGAGGAGGAAACCATACCTGAGATTGCATTGATATTTGTAGCTCCTGGTGAAGGGTCTCTGTCTGACTGTCTGTCTCTGTCTCTTCTTTTCTCTCTCTCTCTCTCTCTCTCTCTCTCTCTCTCTCTCTCTCTCTCTCTCTCTCTCTCTCTCTTTACCATTGCAAATCAGCATCTGTGCTGAAGCTTATGGTTTTACAGAGGCTCCTGGGGCACTGAGAGATTAAGTGACTTGCTTAGGATTGAACAGCCAGTATCTGTGATCATTGGCCAGACTTCAACCTTGGTCTTCTTAACTCCAAGGCCAGCTTATAGTCCACAATAGAGCGCCATGCCTGGAGTCAGGAAGACTCATCTTCCTGAGTCCAAATCTAGCCTCAGACACTCACTGGTTGTGTCACCCTGGGTAAGTCACTTTGTTTGCCTTAGTTTCCTCAACTGTAAAATGAGCTGGAGGAGGAAATGGCAAACCATTCCGGTATCTTTGCCAAGAAAAGCCCAAATGGGGTCACAAAGAATCAGACACCACTGAAAAATAATCCTGTCTTTTCATCCAGTCATCTCAGTACTGGGTTTATACCCTAAGGTGGTCAATAAAGACAGGTCCCATATGTAGCAAAATAGTCATACACAGGCATCATGGTACAGTGAAAAGAAAGCTCAATTTGGAGCCAGATGACCTGAATCCCAACCACCGCTTACTGACTCTGTGACCCTGGAAAAATCACTTGCACCATCTGGGCCTTAGTTGCCTCTCTTTTTCCTGTCTGTAAAATAGTTGGGATTGGGCTGAATGATCTTTGAGGTCCTTTTCAACACTAGATCAATGATCCAAAGATCAGAAAATTCTACGTGCTGGGGTAACTCACACGTTGGTGCTTCTGCTTGCTTCCCCCAAGACACTGATGTCCTCTGGGGATGTCACAGGCTTAGCGGCTTGCTTGGCTGGTTCCAATCCTCTGCTGATCTGTTCACTCCAATATGGTGCTCTCAGGGCTGATGCTGAGCCTCTGTCTACTGTTCTCTGCTGAGCAGAGCCACTGAGCTTCTGTTAGTCTGTTAGTACTACGAAGGTTCTTCTCCCAAATGGTAATGAGGGGAAGGGTTATCTATTCACTGTTTTATTTCATGGCCCCCAAGCTATTTTAATTCTTCTTTTTTTTTTTTTATGGACCTCAGCCAATTATAACCAACCAGCTGGGGAAGCCCTTCGACATTTAAATCTTTTTTTTTTGGTCTTTAACGAGACCTCTCTCTATGCCCAGAAAACAGCATTTATGCTATCATTAAAAGTAACTTGATTACAAGCTTTTCAAGGCCAGTAGCTATGTCTTTATCTTTATTCCCTCCCCTCCCCTACCAACCTCCATGAGAGGCGCTATAGTGGTCCTACAGCCAGCTTCAGAGTCAGGAACTTAAGCTCAAGGTCTGCCTCCGTCCGATAAATGCAGGCTGAGTGGCCTTGGCTGGTCACTTAACATCTCAGATGGCCCCTGGGCAACTCTAAGACTAAAACTTGGAAAACTTCTGCCCATCTGCAAAGGTAGGAGGATTTCTCTCACCAAGGACTCCAAGTACTGAAGGGGAAAAAAAGAATCCCTACAGTGCTTTGCTCATAGTCAGTGCTCAAGAAATACCAGCTGAATGTATGAACGATTGCTTATCTGAGCCTGCCTTGCAGGTTTGTTGTGAGGGACATGCTTTGCAAACAGGAGAGCTCCCTAGAAATCTGAGGAGGTGTTTCTTTTCTAGGTGCAGGAGCCTAGTTTTAATGCTGCTGATTACATCTGAGCAGTGTACAGAGTGTGAATGGCAGGAGCTCAGAATTGTATCAACTTTTCTCTTTGCCTTTGGGTACTTCACGTTTTTTTTTATGCCAAAACTTGGTTTATTTTGTCCTTTTGCAGGAGGCAGAAAGGATAGAGAAGGTGGGGGACACAGGGAAGCTGTAACTTCCATTTTTTGCTTAATGTGGCAAACTCCCCACTCCCTGTTTTCTCAGTGTGTTTAAATATTTGTTATCACACGTTAATGTGATCTTTGATTTTTCAGGCTTTTTTTCCTTCTATTTGTCGTTTTCAGTTAGCAAGGGACCAAGTTGGTCTGAATCCTAATCCCTGCTTCCCCAGGTCCCTACCTCACTGGGCACCGAAGTGTAGTGACTTGGGAAGCCAGCTAGTTGGGGAAGAGCCTTTGGAGTTTCTACTGCCTTGCATGAAAAAAAAAATTCAGGTTCTTTGACCAATAAACTCCACAATCACAACCAAAGCAAATAGGTCACACTTCGGAGTATTGGACCTGAAGACAAGAAGACCCAAGTTTAAATTCTGTCTCAGACATTTCCTAGCTGTGTAACCCTGGGTAAGCACTTAACTTCTGCCTCAGTTTCCTCATCTGTTAAATGGGGATAATAGCACTTATCTCCCAAGGTTGTTGTGAGGATAAAATAAGTTTTCCCCTTAATAGTATTTTATTTTTTCCAACTACATGTAAAGATAGTTTTCAACATTCACTTTTACAAGATTTTGATTTTCAATTTTTTTTCTCCCTCCCTCCCTTCCTCCCCAATACGGCAAGCAATCTGATGTAGGTTATTTATGTACAATCATAAAATGAGACAACATTTGTAAGGCCCTTTGAAAACTTTAAAGTTCTATTTAAATGATAATTATTATTATCAGCAATAATAATAATATTATTGTTATTATGGTTGAAACCAGGCTAGAGGAAAGCATTTTTAATTACTAAGCAGCTTACTCATTTAAGTTGCAGAGGAGCATAGATTTCCTCACTCTAAAACAGAAATTGTGTCTGTAATAACTACCTTACAGTACCACTGAAAGAAAAGCACTTTGTAACCCTTAAAGAGCTGTATAAATGGGAGTTTTTATTAAACATTTCATTCTAAGTTATATTAAATTTGTCTAGGTACATGTCTTATTCCTGCTATTACATTGTAAGTTGTATTTTTTTTTTTAAGGACAGGGATTGCTTTTAAATTCATCTCTTTTTCTCCTCCTGTACCTACCTGTGCCTTTGCTCATTGGAAGTATTGCTGAATAAAGGGTTTGTTTGTTTGTTTAAAGGTGATTCAGATTGGTGACCCTGGGCAAGTCACTTAACCCTGTTTGCCTCCGTTTTCTCATCTGTAAAATGAGCTGGAGGAGGAAATGGCAAACCATTCCGGTATCTTTGCCAAGGAAATCCCAAATGGGGTCACCAAGGTGGGATGTGACTGAAAAGACTGAAAACAGCAGATTTTAAAGTGAGGAGAGAGAACTCTTCTTCTCCTCCATCCCTCACCCCGATTTGGAGAGAACAACAAAGGCATTGGATCTGCAGTTCTAAATTTCTAGAGAGAGCACCTAGGGCTGAATCCCAGCTTTGCTTCTTCCTACTTGTGAGACCTTAGCCAAGTCATTCCTCCATCCCTAGACTTCAGTTTCCTCATCTGTAAAATGTAACGGTCTAAGACTAGCTGATTATAGGGGTCATAGATTTAGAAATGGAAGGGACCTTAGAAGTCATCACATCCGACCCCTTCATTTCAAAAATGAGGAAACTGAGGTCCAGGAAGGTTAAGTAATTGCCCAACCTGACTGGCAGTAAGAAGTCAAGAGGCAGAATCTGAACCCTAAACCCTGGTCCTCTGGTTCCATTCTCCAAAAGCCCTTTTCCAACTCTAATGCTAATGACTTCATGGAGAGAAGAGCTAAGGGACCAGTGGACTTTTCCTTGGGAAGCTTGATCACTTTTTTCGGAGCCTGATTTGTTCCCTTTAAAAATGAAAGCCCTGCTTTGGCCCCGCCCTCCAGCCTCCAAGTCCGCGGACTGAGGGACACCAAGTCCTCTCTCGCCTAGCAACCCAATACACAGAGCAGCCTCATTCAGATTCCTGCGCGGCACGCTCTGGGGGCGTTCTGTGACAGTTCAGCAGGCGGGCACAGGTACTGACCCCACGGAGGTCCCTGGGTCAGGTGTGAGCAGACGGGATGCGACGAGAGATGCTAGAGAAAAGCGCGAGCTACTGGGAGTGAGGGGTGGGGCGGGGCAGGGCGGATGGGCGGGCGGGGAAGGGGAGATTGCTGCGGGGCAGCGGTGGTCGCCCCCTTCTCCATCCCGAGCAGGGAAGCCCCCCGGACCCCAGCTGCAGGGTGGCACCCGCGCGGGATGAAGGGTTTGGACAGGGGGCGAGAGTCCTGGGAGAGCGAGCGCGTGGGATAGACGATGGAGGATGAAGGATGAAGAAGTTCCCGCCCCACCTTCGGAGGGGCTGTACACGTGCTGAACCTCTGTCCTGGAGGGATCTCCCTTCACATGGCCAGAGGTGTCGGGTGTGTGCGTGTGTAATGTGCTTATGGGTAGTGAGTGTGTCAGGGAATTTGAGCCCCCATTGTCTTACATAGAACCACAGAATGTGAGAATTGGAAGGAACTTAAGGGATTATCATCCACTCTGCTCCTCCACTCTCCCCCACGGGCAAACTTAGGCCCAATTAGTCAGTCATCAAGCAGGTATTAAACATTTACTAAGTGCTGGACACTGCGTTAAGCACTGAGAAAGAAAAAAACCCCAACAAATACCTTGTTCTCTGCCCTCAAGGAGCTCATTCTCCGAGAGGTCAACAAGATATAGATCGTGGAAGTCCCAGAGAGGACATAGTGAGAGGCAGCTTGATTAAATGGATTTGGGATCCAGGAGGGCTCTAGGTCCTCCCTGGGGGAGTCCCTAAACCTCTCAGGGATTGTTTTCTCATCTGTAAAATAAGGGTGTTGGACTAGTAGACCCTTCCCTTCCAGCTCTAAATCTATCATCTTATGACTTGGATTCAGAAGACTTAGTTTCAAATCATGGCTGTGGTGCTGACTTGCAGTGTGACGGTGGACAAGCCCTTCTGATTTTCTGGACTTTCATATTTTAATTGTAAATGATAATAAATTTCAGTGGCTATATCATAGGACTTTGGGGAAGAAAGCCCTTTGTAAGGCTTAAAGCAGTATATAAATATGAGTTATTATGTTATGAAATGATTTAACCAACATCATTCTGGAAATCATCCTAGCCTTGAATCTCTGTCTCTGATTTCATGTTTTAGAAAGAAAACTTGAAAGAAACAAGCATCTCCATAGATGTGACCTAAGTGTTATTCTTTATTCCTCTTCCCTTTCCATGGTTTGTGTCATCACCTCCCTGTGATCCTCCACGTGGCACCAAGTATACTCAGGTAGTAATGGGTCACAAGAACTTTATCTCAAGGAAGCCTAGATCTTACTGGGGTTGCCATGTTAATTTTCCCATTTTTTTGTCTGGCCACTAGTCATTTAATCTCTCTGAGCCTCAGTTTCCTCATCTGTAAAGTGAGGTTAGATTAAATGATCTCTAAGATTCCTTCCAACTCTAAATTCTATGATATCAAATCAGCAGGTCCACCTATGGAAATTTCCTAAGGAGAAATTATGGAGAAGTCTAAAACATGGTCTGAGCCTTCGAGGGAACTTATATTCTTGTTGAGGAAATGAGATTTTTTTTTATGTAGGTGGCATAGTTTAAAAAAAAAGATTCAGGTTAATATAAACAAAGGGTTATACGTGTGACTCCTGGTTTGGCAGCCACAGCCTCTCTCAATCAGACTCCAGACTCCCTTTCCAGGCATATAGTTCTGCTTTTCTGTACTCAACATTGCAGTCCAAATGGCCTCTTGGATGTTCCATTTACCCAACATTCTGCTTTATCTCTCCTCACTCCTGCCTCTAGAATTCCTTTGCTTCCTTCAAGACTCAACTCAAATATTATCTCCTCTATTAGGAGCGTTCTGATTTTCCCTTTCCCTCCTACCTGTTGCTAATGCCTTTCCCCTCATATATTTTGTGTTTGTTTTTCACTTTTCACATATCTATTCCATGACCCTGGGCAAGACACTTGACTTGTAAATTGTTCCAGTCACATCCACCATATGGATCTGCCTTGGTAGAAGGAGTTCCTTAGCCAGAGCTTCTTTATTAAGTCCATGAACTCACAGATCTGGTGAAGTTTTAAAAAAAATGTATTTACTTGTCATTTACTTACCATTTTCATCACTCACCATTACCATTATTTACCATACTTATCATTTACTTACCATTTCCCCTCAAAAGAAGGTAAACTTGAAGGCAGGAACTGTTTGAATTTTGTCTTTGTATTCCTAGCATTTGGAACAGTGTCAGCCACTGGTGCTTAATAAATGCTTTTTGAAGTAATGCTGAATAAACAGAACTGTTAACAGAAATCTAGAGAATGGAGTGATGATCCATTGGAGTAGAAGAGGAAGGCTGTTTGGGTAACAATAATAATACATAGTATTTATATAACGCTTTAAGATTTGCAAAGCACTTTATACGCACCATCTCATAATAGCACCTACCACTCAGGGTTGTAAGGAGAAGATAATTGCTTTACAAAGCGCTATGTAAATGCTATTCCTCCTCCTCCTCATCATTTTCATTATCATTGTTATATCTTCACAACAACCCTGGGAGGTAGGTCCTATGATTATCTCCATTTGACAGATGAGGAAACAGGCTGAGAGGTCCAAGCCACTTGCCCAGGTTGCTAAGGGTTTGTAGCCAGGTTACCATACAGAGTCCAAATCCAGCACTATCTCCTGTACCACCCAGCTGCCACCTTGAGACTTTTTGAGCTGGGCTCAGCTAGTACCTTAGTCTTAAGTGCTGTGAGTGGCCCCATGGAATCCATCTTTGTATTTATCCTCCTCCCCCCTTCTCAGGTGGGATTCTCTCCAGGATGTCGACAAAGAGCTTTGAGTGGGACTCGGAAGCCAAATCCCTGCACAGTGCCTGGGAACAGTATTCCACTGTGACGCTCTATCAGTATGAAGGTATTGTTCCAGATGAAGATGAGTTCCAGCCCACGAAGCAGAATCTCTCTGGACAATTCTCCATTTCTTCGGAGGGGACTGCAAACTTGGATATTCCCCAGGTAGTTCCCTGCACATTCACCATCTGCTTGGCTCTGCCGGGCTTTGGTAGGTATAGTAGAAGATGCGTTGTTTTAGATGCGAGCAAATGGATTTTCTTTCCTAAGTTTCACAATATATGTTTACATTTTCCTCCTCTTCTCTTTGTTTTTCATACCCCTCTTTCCTCGTAGTATATGTTAACAACAGAATACTGGTGAATGACGGAACAAAACTTACCAAGGAATTAGGATTCTAGGTGTCCAAATACTGTGGGGACAAAAGTGGATCTAAATGAAACCTCACACCTTGTTTGCAAGCCTCCATACAGGAAAGATTAAGCCTGAGTCCCTATTCTGAGATGAGATTTAACTGTGCTTATGAAATTTAAGCACATTTCCCACTGACTAATGTTTGTTTACCCAGTTTTAATAAACACATTAACACAAATGATTAGTCTTGACAGTAGAAGAATAAACAGGACTGTGACAGGAAGCCAGAGAAGGTTTTGTAGAGGAGGAGGCTTTTGAATTGGGCTTTAAAAGATGAGGTGGAATTCAACAGGGGAGAGCCCTTCGTGTACAGGTGAACAAAGGTGGGAGACTGTAGGAAGTACTTGGGGAATGGGGTGAGGTAGAGAAGTCTGGTTTGACTGGAGTGAAGAGTGAATGGAGACAAATATTGAGATAAATCAGAGTGATGTTAGAGGATGCAGAGCCTTGAAACTCAGACAAAAAAGTCTGAACATTAACCTGGGAGGCAGGAGGGAGCCCCTGAAGATATTTGAGTAGAGGAATAACATGACTGAATATATAAAGCTGATTAACTTACACTTTTATGGAAAAAAAAGAACCTTGTCCTCAAATATGACCAGATGTAAAGTAGTAAAGATAGGCATCAGTCCTTAAAGGAAAGCAGAAATACTGTACATCTTTATACAGGAATGCAATTTCTCCCCCTTATTTGTCCCCATTATTAGAGCCATTTATTAAGAGACTAGCTGAATATGACACAATACACTGCTTTTTGAAGTAAATTAGACAGAATTTCTGCCTCTGGGAGCTTACAATCTGAGACAGCTTTGATGTGGATAGAGTTATTAAAGAATTATAGATGAATGGAGAAATATTGAATAAATACATAAATCAATCAAAATTTTTACATTTAAGTATGGGCCCAGCAACTGATTCTGTCTTTTGGCCCAGAATCCTCCTAGGTGAGTTTGGAGAGGCTCATCTCTGGTGTTGGCCACCAGGTGGTGAATTCTTTAACTCATTAAACCATAAGGCATGGAGGGGTTGCAGTTTGCATCAGTAGAGGGAGCATGTACCCACATGAAATCACAGATCCTTGAAGTATTTATATTACAGGTAAGCAAAGGGATAAATTCATTTAGTGCAGTTAAGTCAAAAGGAAATCATAGGAGTTGCCTGTTTAGACAGAATTCTAAAGAAATCACCATTTCTACAGGTCAGGAATATCTTCATGGGAGAGGCATGATTTTAAAAATCTGTAATTAAGTAGAGGGAAAAACATGAATACTTAAGGGGAAGGGAGAGGTATTCCAGGGATATTCCAGGCCTGGATTGTAGGGAGAAATGTTATTATTACACAAAGTAAAATATATTTTCCTGAGAGAAGTAGAATGAATGGGGTTTAAGGAAACCAGCAAAGTAAAATAGCCTATTAAAAAGCTCCTAGCCACCTCTAACAGAAGGCTTCTGGGCTTTTTGGCCCTGGTAGATGTTCTGTTGCCATCTCCAAAGGAAATGAGGCTCTCCAACAAAAAAGTGGATGCCTGACTTTATTTTTTTTTAAAAAATTCCTGTTTTTATTTATATATAATTTATTTATATTTATATAATTTATTTATATTTGTATTTTATTTTCTTCCTGACTCTTTTCTTTTTATTCCTCTCTTTACAACCAATCAATTCTGCGGTCATTATCACGTATTATGTTCAAGGCTGTGGGGAACACAATATTGGAAAACAAGTTACTGTCCTTTAGGAAAGGGACCGGAATGGTGATTTCATTGGTATGGGCAGTTCCTGGAGGAAGAAACTTCATCTCTACCAAAGTAGATTGGTGCCTTTTCTATGACTTATAGTCTTAGTTGCCTAGAGCTTTCCACTACGTGCTAAAAGGGGGACCCAAACCCAAGTCTTCCTGGTTCCAAAGCTGGCTGTCTATCCACTCCACCACACGTCCTCTCCCTCTGTCCTCAAGGAATTTATGTAATCTACACATATTTGGTCAGCTGGTCAGAGCACCAAGCTACTCTACTCCAGGATGTGAAGATCTGGAATTATTTGCATGTGGGAATAATTAATCATTATACTGTAGTGACAAGAGCCTGGAGAAGGGAGGCAAATGGCTTTGGTTCATCTTTCAGGTCTGCTTCTTTCTGACTATGTGACTTTAAGTGGATCCTTTTTTTCTTTGCCTCTGCTGAACTTTCTTTGTGACAGCAAGTCACACCACTGACTCAGATTGAACTTGTTTTTTCCCTAATAACTCCCAGAACTTTTCCAGATGAATGCTTTCCCCATTTCGTATTTATAAAGCTGATTTTTGTTTGTTTGTTGTTTTTTTTTTTACCCAAGTGTGAGGCTACTTTTAGCCATATTAAATTAAGATCCTTCTCCTTGGTAGATAATACAGAAACAAAAGAACAGGTAAGGATTTCTGTCTTTTCTTGTCGGTCATCATTATCCTACCCACCCTGCATCGACAATCTTATCCTTTCTTAGCTCCTCCTCTTTTTTCCCCCTCATCTAGCTAAAAAACCCAACCAAACAACAGAAAAACAAAAACCCCTTTTTGTTATGCTTTCCTCAAAATTCTTGCCTCATTGTTCTTTCTGGATTTCCTATTATTACAGATTTTGGAGTTCATCCTCTTGTGACCTTCCCTTGCCCCTATCTTCTCTATGTTTTTTAGAGTGAAATTGGTTGGTTGGTGTTCTTTCTTCAGACCCTTTGAACCAGATATATTCTCCCTGTACTGTTCCTAGTTTTCCTCTTCTTTCCTGTCACAGACTCTAAGATGAGTGACCACTTTGCCTCTTGCCCCCCTTCCCCAGACTCCCATCATTTCCACACTCCCAGAAATCAGTGTTTTCCTGGTGAGAATTAATTCCAGAATAGAACTTCCCCTGTTGATTCTTAAACCATTTGAAGAATGAAAATTAATGTTAAGAGAAGTTAGTAAACGATCAATTTCTCTGCTTTTGGCAAAGAGATTTCTGGTAGCTGCCCAGCCAAATGAAGTACCGTGTCCCTCCTGTACCGTTTCTCTGTGGTAGGCTTGTGATCCATTTTCCTGAAATCATTAATTTCTTCTTTCTGTCCAGTCGGTCTGTAAAATATTCCAGATTAAAATGTTGCTTCAGTTTTTGCCTCTGCTGAACTTTGTTGTATTTGTGGACCTGCTAGCTATTGCGTACTCGTTGATTGATACACACTCGTTGATTCTTACCCATATTTTCTGTAAGTCCTCTGTAGAGGTCCACCCGGTATGCTCAGGACATTCTTTGAACCAGTGCAGTCAGGCAACCATCTGTTATTACTTATTCTCACTACATGACTAGCCCATATCCTTTTCTGGTTATACATCTCTTGTATGGCATGTTTTATGTCTCTTTTTGCATACAAATCATCACTGGTAATATATGGCAGGCTATTTATGTCTGTTGAACAGTTCTTTATTGCCCTTTAGGTGACTCACAATTTTGATTTTTAGAGATCATGGTATTTCATGATTCACTGCCACATGGCATTACAAGAAGAATATCTCTGCTAAAATGATAGGTTTTTGTTTCAGAGAGAAACCTGAGGTTTTTGAAGGTACTGTGCAATTTCTCAAATGTAATCCAACCTGTTTTCTTTCTCCTAGTCCATTTTGGGCTCAAGTCTTTTCAAATCATTCATTACAATAAATGTGTAGTTGATTTTTTAAATGTCACGAGGATACTAGGGGAAAGTATTGAACCTAGGAAGAGATATAGCCCAAGTTCAATGTATGTTTAATCAAAACTAGACATGAGGAGAGAGAAAAGTTTGGGAATAAACCAGGAGAGAAGAAATATGGAGATCTGAACTTGGCCAACAATATCATGCTATTTCATCTTGCTAGGTAGGCATTTGAACGCAGGAAGAAAGCTCTCTGAAATGTAAATGCATTTACTCTTCACTTACTAAATCTACCTTGTGTCTTCTAGGCCCTAAAGGGAAGCATTCACCTGACATATTTAAACGATTAAGATCTGATAAATTTGCAAAATTTCGACGGTACTATCATATAGAATATCTGCTCTTACCAGATGACAGAGAGCCCAAACAAGTTGACTTGGTGTTATTTAATACATTAATAGCCAAGGTGTTCATGGAATTTGGAATAAAGGTAAGATGTATATGGGTGTATATGTTATGTATGTGTCATACATGTATTTGCTCAATATATATATTAAAAGAAATAGAAATATATCAGATATAAATACTGAAATGTAAATAACAAATTAAATCACGTTAATTGTATCTACTGCAGTAAATATATTTATATATACATCAATTTATTAATTAGTTCGTTTATTCATATTTCTTTTAGTAAACGCCAAAGCATCTGGGGTTTGCTATCTAGCTTCCAACTTTTTGAAGTTATTCTTCATGACCCAGAACACCCAGCTACTTTTTGGCATTGGAGTGAGACTTGAAGGCGATTGTTAATTATTAATTATTAATAATTAAATATATCTGCTGTGCCATATGAAAGAATTGAGGCTATTGGGACAACAAGTGGTTACCTGTGGGAATTGAGTGAACACCACTGATGCCATCTTGTGACTCCGTTCTTGAGCTGCCTCAGTTCTCTTTCTAATCCAAATTCTGCCACATGAGAACAATTTATTCAGTTGTGGGAATTGGGAAAAACTTGGTTACATTGTCTGAACCTAGCTCCACGTGGCTGGGAAGCTAGACCACCTCTTCCTGCTGTCTAACCAAGGACTGGGTTATGCTGATGAGAAACCTGGTCAGCTCCAAAGATTGGTGGAAGGAGTTTTCTCACACTTGTACATCTCAAGCAACCCATATGTCTTATCTGAAAACCGGCTCTGTACCCATCAGCTTTTGTTTCTGGGCTCATTTGATTGTTTAAAGACACTGAGGTGCAGCAGCACACCTATTTTCCTGAGTTCAGGGAATTGAACCTATTTTGCTCTCCCTCTCTGGACTTGGAAACTCCCTAATCTCTTCTCCAATTAGAAATCAGATTACTTACTGTCCTATTGTTTCCTTTTAATTAACCGGCCTTATTTCAGGTCCAGGCCTAAACTGAGAAAGTCTGGTCCCAATTTGTTAGGCAATCACGATGCATTACTTAATGAATCAATGTGCTTGAAAGATGGAACCTTTGGTTTCCTCAGTCTTTTCATCTTTCATGCACCACACATAATACTATGTTTTGGTTCTCCAGCTCTTCAAGATGTTCAGGAGAACCCTGTTGCTCTGTGGGCATATTGGAAATACCACAGGTCTAAGTCATCCATATAATAGTTTAGTGTTTTTTAATTAGAATCTGTTTTTGGCTACATTCCTTGCTTTTTACTTTTTACCTTAAGTTAACCACCTAGCAGCCTTTACTTCTTCACAATGCTTCAAATAAAGCCTTCTCCTTCCTTGCTTTGTCTTGCTTCTCCTTTCCTCACCTTACCATAAACCTCTCTCCTTATGGATATGGTCGCAGGCCATCTCCCTTGCCCGTCAGTATAATCTAGAAGTAACAGCTCCTTCTGTATATATCCTCCTCTGTAATGACTTTAGCTCTCAATTTGCCCCTCTGTTGCTCATACTACTAACCTCATTGTATGTTACAGGTTATAGCAAAAGTGTGTTCAGAGGGATTGTTCAGGGGATAGCATCTGTTTAGTAGTCATGAAAAAGGTGTGTCCTAGGCAGTGAAATTTTTTAGAGTTGGATTTATGTCCTTAAAAATAGGAGCTAATTGCATTTCCTATGTAGAAATGTATGTAGTTAAATTATTTTGTGGACCAGGTTTCATTAACATAACATTATATATGGAATTCTTTTTTTTAAAAGATTCATTAATTTATTTTTAGTTTTCAACATTCACATCCACAAGATTTTGAGTTCCAGATTTCTCCCCATCTTGTCCCTCCCCCTCCGCCAAGGCAGCGTGCATTCTGAATACTCTTTCCCCTCATCTGCCCTCCCTTCTATCTCCCCATTCTCTTATTCCCTTCCTCTTCTGTTTTCCTGTAGGGCAGGATAGATTTCTATATTCCATTGCCTGTCTATCTTATTTCCCAGTTGCATGTGAAAACAGTTTTTTAACATTTGTTTTTAAAACTTTGGGTTCCAAATCTTCTCCCTTCTTCCCTTCCCACCACCCTCATTGGGAAGGCAAGCAACTCGATACAAGTTATACATGTGTAGTCACACAAAACACTTTGTGAAAAACTAAGTATATTTCCCTTCATTCTATCCCGCCCCCCCATTTATTCTATTCTCTCTTTTGACCCTGTCCCTCCTCAGAAGTGTTTGCTTCTGATTACCCCCTCGCCATACATAAGGGGTTCTTAAGTAGGTATTTGACTCTAGTTCATTTTCACTCTATCTAAAAATTATGAAATATTTTGGTGTAAGTATTGTAATACCGACTCCTGTGGCTGCCACTGTCTAGAAGGCCAGGCATGTTAGTTTTTACCCCACCCCAGGTATCCTTAAGAGGGCTTGGGGTGTCTAGACCAGGGGCTTTGAGGCCACGTGTGGCCTTCTAGGTCCTTGGGTGCAGGCTTTTGACTGAGTCCAAGTTTTATAGAACAAATCCTTTTATGAAGGGGATTTCTTCTGTGAAGTTTGTATTCAGTCGAATGCCATCTCTAGTCTAGACTCTCTGAAAATGGTTCCAGTTCCTACAATGGTTTCCCCCAAATGTAGAGGAGCTCCATTTTACAAAGAAATATTTTCTTCAAATGATAATAAAAAAATACACAAATTTAGTCCCCCAGTAGTGGTAGGCATGATCTGCCTTCCCTCTTCTCCCCTTGGCACCACCTTAGTCTCTGGGGAGGGGAAAGAGTTAAGTTCAGTTACTGTAGAATATAGTACCAGTTCCAACCCCTTTGGCTTGTGTCTCAGGCACTCTGGCTTCTCGGGGTGTCCGTGAGGGGCTGGTTACACCTGTCTGCCTGTAATTCTGGCTCAAAAATTGTCACCATGGCTCACACTCCTGGGTCCAATGGAGATTGCTACCAGCACCCGAAATTGTGAAAGACGAAAGGAAACAAACAGAAATAAACACTGCTAGGCCCATTTCTCAGAGCCAGGGTAAAAGAGGGAGCAAGGAGAGGAAGTCCTTCCCCTCTCCCGGGTTCTGTTCATGGTGTCAGTGAACTGGTGTCTTCACCCATGGTACTAGCACAGGAAAGAGCTTCTAGCAAGAATTGTACAAAGAGTGACCACCTCAGTCTTGCCAGCTTTAAAGACAAAACCCTGTTCTGGTTAAGTAGCCAGTCAAAGGGAGCTACACCTTCCCTTGGGGTAGGGGACATAAAGGCCTCCATGTTAGGTGATCTGGACCAGCTCCAAAAGCCCTTCGTGATGCTTCCATCTTGGATGATCTGGGCACTTAGCATAGTGTCTGACACATAGTAGGCACTTAATAAATGTTTATTGATTGATTGACTGATAGACAAGCCCAAGTTATAGTATATTTTGTTTGGTTTAAATTTTTTTACAATGGTAATATGTACATGGCCATTTTTGATTAACCGGAGAATCCTGTTCATTAATCATGTTGGATAACAGGGAGTTTTTTGCAAATTAGCTTAAAAAGTGGCAAAATTAGTTTGTACATCGATTATCTCAAAGGACATAAAACAGCATGATGAATTAGCACTGATCTATTCCCTTCAGGAAAATTGGTTACACCAAGCTGTGTGACTCTGGGCAAGTCACTTAACCCCATTGCCTAAAAAAAAAAAAATTGGTTACACCAAAAATGTTTTTTTGGTGCCTAAACAGAGTAAGTTAGTTTATGTTCTTTCACTTCTTTTAGCAGGGCATTTGATGCCTCTGTAGGCAAATTCAGGGGAAAAAAAGTGAGCCCTTAGTTTTCACTTTCTAATACATTAACCCTACTTTGCTTCCAGATGTATTTTCTGAGCTAAAAATAGGCAGCTACTATTGTATAAAAATTCCTTTGGAGAAATTTACCAAAATGATTAAAATTTTTTTTTAAAAAAAATCATTTCATAGTTTCCCTGCCCTTTGATTTTAGGTAAATGTTAACATATTCAGTTGTGTATGACTCTCCATGATGTCATTTGGGGTTTTCTTGGCAGAGATACTGGAGTGGTTTGCCATTTCCTTCTTCAGCTCATTTCACAGATGAGGAAACTGAGACAAACAGGATTAAGTGACATGCCCAGGGTTACACAGCTAGTTAAGTGTCAGAGGCCAGATTTGAATGAGATAGAAAATGGAACTTGAGTCTTAAATGAAAGTAGGGATTCTAAGAGGCAGAAATGAAAAAGGAGTGTGTTTGCTTGGCAGGTCTACTTCAAATTGACTTCATTACTGGGAATATTGCTGTTTTTTCCACAAACATTTATAAAATTACCATAGTTAAAAGACTTTTAATGTTGTTTTACATAGGCTGTGAGTCCATGGCATGAAGATGATAAGTTATGGGTGTCTTGGAAAGAAACTCATAAGATGTCAATTACAAAAGAAGTGTTAAAGAAACTGAACTATTACAAAATCATCTTTAATATATGGGACACCAAGGAGAAAGTGTCTAAAAAAGCAAAATTTGCTAAAGTAAAAAGTTTGAGTCACCAGGAGGATTTTGAAAGTGTTGGTAAGTTAATTATTCAAATTTTACTTGAAATATTCACAGAAGTATAGAGCCACAGAATATTTGAGATGGAGAGAAGCTTACATAGAATCTTAATTCAACATCTTCATTTTATTCTCAAGGAACCTGAGACCCCATGGGAGAAGGACTGACTTGGCTAGGTTATAACCTCGTTATAACCAAATTAGTTGGGGCAGAATGCCCTGAGACCAAGGAGATAGATTTCAGGTGGTCCATGAACTTGGATGGGGAAAATTTATATTTATTTCAATAAAATTAGTTTCCTCTGGAATTCTGTTATTTTATTTGAATGCATTTCAAAACAATATTTTGGGAAGAGATCCACAGGCTTCACCAGACTGCCAAAGGGTTCCGTGACACAAAAGGTTAAGGTCAGGAACTCTTCTGCAGGCTTTTATTGGATCTAAATTATCTTTGCAGCTTTCCCTTTTTACTCCTGTTTCTTCCCTCTGAGACCAAGTAGATCAAATCTAATTCTATATGATAGCCCTTTCAATGCTTGAAAGCCTGGGTTACATCCCCCATCTTTTTTTCCCCAAGCCAAATATTCTTAATTCCTCCCACTCTTTCTTTACATGGCATGGTCTCTATTTCCTTAACTCTCCTCATCCCTCTTCTCTGGAGGCTTGTCAAAACCTTTTCTAAAACATGGTGCCCAGAGCTGACTGTAACATTCTGGATGAATCAGTTTAATCCAGGGGTGGTGAACCTGCAGCCTCCAGGCCACATGTGGCCTTCTGAGTCCTCAGGTGCAGCCTTTTGACCAAGTCCAAGATTTACAGAACAAATCCTTTTATGAAGGAGATTTGTTCTGTGGAGTTTGGATTCAGTCAAAGGGTCACACTTGAGGACCTAGAGGGCCACATGTGGCCTGGAGGCCGAAGGATTCCTCACCTTCATTTCACTTCTGAATGAAGCATTGCTAATGACAGGAATCATTCCACTGCACATCTTGGGTGCCTGAGATACCCTACCGCAAGCCTGGATCTCATGTGTCCCTTAGGCCACTCCTCAGGGCTGAGGTCCTCGCTGGTCCTGCAGCCAGCAAGCACTGGTGTGGGCTTCAGCTCCTAGACGTTTTGAGATCTTGTAAAGCCTTGTACCATAGGAGGAAGACATAAGTAGAAGGAAGCACCCTTCCTAGACACAGGCTTGCCAGGGGGCCATGCACTCACCTGATGGCCTGGTAGGGAGACAGGTCCCCCAGCTCCCTCCAACCTCTGAAGCTCAGCGAGTCATCCTTCCACCTTGTGGCTGGCAAGTTTCTCCACTGGGGCCTTTTTTTGCAGTCTTACTTCTCGTGCAGCAGCCAACTGAAGTATCTTTTCTTCACCACGCAGTAACAGTCAGAGTGTATCCGTGCATACTCTGAAGAGGATTGCCAGGCCCCTGCAAGCAGGCTTGCCAAACAGGCATGCTATTTGTTACCCCACTTTGTATTTTATGTGCAGATACCTGCGTCCATCTGTTTTAGTGCTTTTCAGATAGTCTCCTGTGAATAACTGGTCTTTTCTATTGCCATTCTAATGTACTTGCTATGCCCTACTATTTGCCTTGAAATACATAGGTAGTTTTCTCTCTCCTTTCTCTTTTCAATTTAAAACAGCCTTGATTGGATTTATAAGATATTAGGTAAATATATATTTTACCATCTCTGCTTAGGAGCACACCAACCCTGACCAAGAGCATTCCTATATTTTAAACCCTGCTTCCACAATCTATTCTTGGGTACCATTTTTATAATTACTTGTTCATTTTCCAAATCTACCCTCTTCTTTGCCTTTTTTTCCCCCATTTTTTAAAGGCAATTGAGGTTAAGTGACTTGCCCAGGGTCAGATAGCTAGTAAGTGTCAAGTGTTTGGTCTGAGGTCAGATTTGAACTCAGGTCGTCCTGAGTCCAAGGCCAGAGCTCTATCTGCTGCACCACCTAGCTGCCTCTTACCCTTTTCTTTCAAAGTTACAGACTTCTGTTGAGAGCAAGGATATTGAAATTTTTTATTATTTATTTTTTCATTGTCAGTGGTGCCCTTAACGTGTGATATCATTCCTTCATTTATTTCTGTTAATCCCTTGTAACTTGAATTAATTTTGTGTCTGATGATGTAACTTGATTTTTTTGATTCAGCTGGGGCAGGATAAAATTTAGTCTATTAATTTAAGTCTTTGTGTGGTTTCCTGCATTAGGTATATTTCCTTTTGGCAGCCTCTTATGAGTTGTGAGTTTTAATTCATTCAGTGACCCTTTCCTTTTTTTTAATAGTGGAATTCAATTGACAATTAAAGGTTATAATGGTTATATTCACCTTATCTAACATACCATTGTTTGGCCAGACCATAGCAAATTTGAAACCAGCCTTTTGTTTCAAATATACTTAGATCTTTCTGGATTAAAGGTGTTTTCTGGAAACATTTGGTGTTATCATTATTAGGTTTTTCTTTTCTTCAGTCATTTAATCAAAAAAAGGATGGATGCCCCCTTAGTTTTTTATTATTTCTATTATCAATCCAAACTTAACATCATGCTGCGTTGCCTTGAGTGCAGACATGATTACTCTCGGACCTCAGTTTCCTCTTCTGTAACAGGAGAGAAGAAGGGACTTGATGACTCCTTGGTAAACTTCTTCCAGCTCTAAATGTGTGATTCTGCCTTAATTTGGACTTCTCTTTAATCAGAGACAAGAACTTTGAAATTCCCCCCCTCCTTCCTTCCTTTAAACTCAGAGATATTTGGTGATTTAGCCAGTACATTGCTTTGGGATCCTTACATGTTGTTAATAACCCTTTTAGTCTTGGTTATTTTAAACACAGTACTTATCTTCTGTGGTTCAAAGATGTCCCTTCAAGTGGATGTCTCACTGCAAGCTTTTCACACAGACATTACCTGTCATCATAAAGCACTCTGAATACAATGATCCTAGACAACTCAGAAGGACTCACGATGCAAAGTGCTCTCCCCCTCCAGAGAAAGAACTGATGGTGTCTGAGTGTAGGTCAAAGCATGCTATTTTTTACTTTCTTTCTTTTTCTGTCCGTGTTTTACGACATGACTAATATGGAAATATATTTTGCATTATTGGTGCACATGTACTATATCAAATTACTTACCATCTCAGGGAAGGGGAAGGAGAGGGAAGGAGAGAATTTGGAGCTCAAAATAAAAAAAAAAAACCAAATGTTAAAATTTGTTTTTACATGCAATCGGGAAAGAATAAAATATTTAAAAAAATAAAGCATACTGAGTAGATAATTATGGGTTTTATGGCACATGCTTCTTAATCTTATAAATGTTGAATTCTTATTTCTTAGATCCTTCATTTCTGAAACCAGGGTCATCTCTCACCCTGCTTTGAGATGGGAGTCTTAATTTGGCTCATTGACCTTTATTTTTTTTTTCTTCATTTGTGATGACCATACTCAAGTAGTATTGTTTTCCCTCTTCCCCCTCCACCTCTGGCTTGTTTGTCATTCAGTTGTTAATCAAAATTACACTCCTATTGATTTGATGTCCTCTCTGGTTGTTGAGATAGCTGTCATTCAAATGAATGCTACTGTTGTGTTAACCTCTGTTTAATGGAGATATGGCAGACGTGCAAACCACCTGGGATGGCATCTTTCTACATGATTAGTCAATTGGAACCAGTTACTGTAGGGTCTCACTAAATTCTATGAGTGAGTCATGAAGCTGCCCCCTGTATGAATATAACAAAGAGAGGTGGTTGAAACTGACTTAGGCCTTTCTGAAGTCACTGAAAGGTCTATCTACATCGCCAATTAAAAAAAAAAGGCTAACCAGAACCAGTTACAGAAAGTCCACACGTGCCCCACAGTCTCTCCAAGGCATTTCTTTTACATGTTGTCATGACTCTCCCAGAAGGAGGATCGCAGCCCCTCCATATGGAGAGACACTGTCCTAAGTGCTCTGAATATGTGCCAATTCCTCATTACATGTGGAACTTACATTTTTGATGGAATAAGATGGTAATAGTAGCAGAAGGTCCCCTTGGTTTTCATACATTGATGTTGTTCTGTGTTCTAGATGGTTTTGCTTATCAGATGTTATTTTAAGGGCAGAACACCACTCAACAGATCTCTAAAATTCTTGCAAGGTTCGGATTGTCTAGTATCTTTGAAAAGTCTGTTCTGATTTTTAGTATCTCATAGTCCAGTCCTTTCTGTTAATGTTTATCTTGAGCAAAAAATCCCATGCAATTGAAGGATGCTTATTAATGTATATTTCTTCTTGGATCCTTGTAAAATTGTCTCCTCATTCTAGTCTTAGAATCTGACTACATATGAGTTAGTTGAATCAGGGAATTGTCTTAGGCTTGGAGTCCAACTGAAAACTTCTTTTCCCTAATATACCTCTGGCATATGTATGCCAGGACTGGTCTCAGTCCTGAATTCACAATTAAAACTCTGCTTCTAAGGACCCTCTGGGCCCTTCTTCATTCTAATCTCCTTTCAACTATAATCCCTGTTTTCTTTCTTTCTTTCTTTCTTTCTTTCTTTCTTTCTTTCTTTCTTTCTTTCTTTCTTTCTTTCTTTCTTTCTTTCTTTCTTTCTTTCTCTCTCTTTCTTTCTCTCTTTCTCTCTTTCTCTCTTTCTTTCTTTCTTTCTTTCTTTCTTTCTTTCTTTCTTTCTTTCTTTCTTTCCTTCTCTCTCTCTCTCTCTCTCTCTCTCTCTCTCTCTCTCTCTCTCTCTCTCTCTCTCTCTCTCTCTCTCCCTGTGAGGCAGTCAGGGTTAAGTGACCTACCCAAGGTCACACAGCTAGTAAGTTTCAGGTGCCTGAGGTCAGATTTGAAATCAGGTCTTCCTGACTCCAGGGCCAGTGCTTTAATCACTGCTCCATCTAGCTGCCCCTAAAATTTCTTTTTTTCTTTGGAACAAACACAACAGAACCAACCAAAAAAAAAACCACCCCAAACCAAAAACCACATTCCCTTGTCTTTGCCACTCTGTTATTATTGTCACCCTATACCTTTCCTCCCCTTCACAGCTACATGTGTTACCTTCATTGCCTCTTTGCCCCCTCACTGCTTAGCCTCTTTGATCTGTCTTCTAGCTTCACCTTTCTATTCCCCAATGACCTTTTAAGGATCGAATCGAATGGCCTTTCTCATTTTAGCCCTCCTTCTCCTTGACTTTTATGCAGGCTTTGATAATCTTGACCCCCCCCCACCCCTTTCTTTATAGATTTTTTCCTTTACATTGTTCTTTCTTGGTTTTCCTTGCTCTTCCTTCCCTGGTTCATTTTCCTTTAGTAGGGGCATCCCCCAGGTCTCCGTCCTCAGCCCTCTTCTCTCTCTAATCTACTTAAATTATCACTGTATAGGTTATTTCAATATCTATATATTTAACTCTAGCCTTTCCCCGAGCTCTAAGATGCCTCATTTCTCTTCCTGTACTGGATTCTTAATTGCTACCAAACTGTAACTGAAATTTTCTGGGTCTAGGTTTTTCCTCCTAGGTTTCTCTTCAAGGTCTCTCCTCTCACATCACCACTGATTGATGTCATCAGTTTCATGGCTTACCAGGTGGGCAAAAATTCAGCTTTCTATGACTGAGTCCAGTGGAGAGACCATTCAAGAGCTGGGTGCTTAAAGAGTATTTCTAGTGTTATACCTCCTATCACCAAGACAACTGGAATCACATTAGCTCATCACTGAAAATCTTTGATAATGATTTAGGTCACTGTGCCCACTTAACTGTGGATCCTGCTGTTAATTACTGTCTGAGGGAATAGGAAACTGCATTACAACTGCAGGAGACTATTAAATATAGCAGATTGCATCTGGCTTGGTTGTCTGAAACTTTAGGGTATGGGGACCCAATTAGCTAGGGTGGGAATCAGGAGTTCTGGATTCGAATCCTGGTTCTTGTACTTATTAGCTATATGATGTCAGTCAAGTTGTTTAATCTCCTGGGCCTCAATTTCCTTATTTTTAAAATGAGAATAAAAATATGTGCATTATCTTCCTCAGAGGATGGTTGTGAGAAAGCATTTTGTAAATAATAAGAAACTCAAACTGTGAGTTATTTTTGTCATTAATTATATCATTAATTATACTATTCTGAATTAAGTTTTAGGTCCCTGACCCTTGAAAGAAATAAGCCCTAACCACAGCTACTTAGTTTAGAGAAAGTTACCCTTGACTAGTGTCAAAAAACCACTCTTAAATAGGCAGTTTGTGATCTCTTCCTATTTATTGACACTACCCTTCTCTGAAGTAGAATGTAAGCTCCTTGAAGGCAGAGACTATAGCTTTTATATGTGTATTCCCTAGTGCCTAACAGTGTGTATAGCAGATAATAGACACTTAATAAATGATTGTTGATTGATTGGTTAATTCTCTATCCTACTCCTTCCCAGATGAAGTGAAACAATTGGTTTTAAGGCAAAGAAAATTGTCTAAAGAGAAAACACCAAAACCCAGCATTATTAAAACAAAAAAGGAGATCATAGAAGTTGAACCATATAACCCTCCTGTCAACATTGAATCAGGTCAGTAGAATAAGTTACTTTAGCCAAATCGACCATAAGTTAATCAGAAAGGGAATGACTTTTATATTTTAATTAGCCCACTATAAACATGTGTTTACATACACATACATGTCTATTTATTATTATCATGGTGATTTTATTCTTTAGTCTAGCCAATGCAAACACTGTGCCTAATTCTGTGGGGAGCTAGAAAAGAAACTTGAAGATGTGCAGGCATTTGTGTTGATGCTATGTAAGACTGAGGTTTTAGACATGAAAATCAGACATTTTCGCACAGGAATGATGATTTTTATTGATCCCAATAGCTTACACACCATTTGCAAAGGTGAAGAACAAATATGTGGGGTGTGGCTACTGACTAGTGTTGATTCCATGAACTTTACTTACTGATGGATGAGTTGGAAAGGAGATATATGGGGAGGGAGTGAAATGGAGAGAAATTTGAGAAGCTACTTAGAAAAGGCAGAAGATATTAGTGTTGTAACTTTTAGGGAGAGGCCAGACCAGATGGGAGATGGCAAAAACAAACAGGAGATCTGGAAGACAGAACTGTGTCAGAATGATTGGTCGCAGACTGGAGGCAGAAAGCCAGCCTTAGAGAAATCCATAAGCAAAGAGCAAGGACAAAGCCATGGAGACTTCAATCCCTGGAAGGACAGGTGGAGGTCAAGGCTAGGGAAGCAAAGTGAAGACTCACACACAAGATTGGGAAGTGCGGTGAGGAGGATGCAGCAAACATGCTAAAGATCTAGTCACTAGAACTGGAATAAGGCAAGTTTCCAATTACTAGACTGTTCAAAGTGAGAGGTCCGATAGGGCTGCTGATGAAGGGTCAGTAAGATTTTGGTCAAGACTCCTTATCTGCTTCCCTGATAAGGACATATTTGGTCCTATAGTCTGGGGGCAGGGGGATGTGGTACTGAACCTACGGGTGGAGGTTAGACGGCTTCAGGATTAAGGTTCCCAGCTCAATTCTCCATCTCCATCTCTGTATCTGTCTCTCTTTCTCCTTCCTCTTCCCTCCCTCCCTCTCTTTCATCTCTCCTCTCTCTCTTTCTCTCCGTCCTCTCTTTTTCTGTCTCACTGCTTCTTTGTCTCTTTCTCTCTCTTTTCTTTTTCTCTCTTACTGCTTCTCTATCTCTTTCTCTTTATTTTCTTTTTCTGTGTCTCACTGCTTCTCTGTCTGTCTCTTTCTCTTTTCTTTTTCTGTCTCTTACTGCTTCTCTATCTCTTTCTCTCTGTCTCTTTCTCTTTATTTTCTGTTTCTGTGTCTCACTGCTTCTCTGTCTCTCTGTCGCTTTCTCCTTCATTTTCTGTCTCTCACTGTTTCTCTTACTGTTTCTCTGTGTTTGTGTCTGCCTGTCTCTTACACACACATTCCACCAACTGGTAATTTTTCTCTTTGGGGTTAATATCTCTTTGGGAACACAAATATCCACTGTCAGTTGTTTTAATCAAATCAGTTTCCAGATGGGATCTTAATAGGAATTTACGTTGTTGAGAGAAGATGAGGGGAAGGCGAAAAAACCAAGGATGAGTGTGCTGATGTTGATTGGACTTTTTTTCTCTTGTGACCCTCACTCAGTCCCTCCTTATGTTCTCCCTAGTCCAGCACCTCTTTATTATAGGTCCTAGGGGACCTTTAGAATCTCTCTTCTAGGAAATTTTAGGGCCTCCTGTATAAATCTCATGGACTTGTGATTTTTTAAAAAAGCCATTCTCGTATGCCCTTCCAGGGAGCAATTTGCAATGGGTAGTTCAACAGAAAGCAGATTCAGAATCACTCCCATATTGACTAAACTCCAATATTGACAGCAAATAAAATTTCAATGCTCGAAAAGCTCAAACCACTTACCATCATTTAAGTAGACAAACCACGAGGTTAAAGACAGAAGTAAAATCACGGTGCTTCATTTGGTCTTTACGCAATAGTTCAAAGAGCCCTGAAACCTCACATGCATTAATCGATCTTGGCTTTGTGGATTAGACAGATTCCCCAAATACTGTATATGAAGTGAACATTGCACATGGAAGCATCTTCTACTGACTTCCATTGTAATTTCTGAGCCATGTGGTCCCAGAAGAAAAGTTCAGCACCAAGACAGTATGCCCATTCTTCTTGTACACTTTTGTTGGTGTGCTATCTGTTGGAATACAATTTTCTGCATCTCCTGTGAAAGAAAAGTTAAAGCATGTAACCGGTCAAACCCAGGGACTTTTCTATATTACTAAAAACACATGCATATTTAAATGTATCATACAGTGAAAGTTCTTACCTAACCATAGTTAAGCAGCTAGACTATTTCTCCACATATGTAGTAATATTCATGAGTCTAGACTGGGGTGGGGCACCTGTGGCCTTCTAGGTGCTTAAGTGTAGCCTTTTGTCTGAATCTTGGTCCAGAGGCTATGCTTAAGGACTTAGAAGTCCACGGGTATCCTGGAAGCTGCAGCTTCACCACTCCTGGTCTGTTTAAATCATATAACAGATGGCTTCTTTTGGCTAAAACTCACCAGTTCACTAATTGCTATACTCACTTAAGAAAAGTTCATAGGAGTTTAAAGAGCTGTTGTTTCCTTAAAACTGCAAGAAACCTTGTCAAGAGAATTGGGAATAGAATTTAAATATATATGTGTCTGATCTCCTTAAGGTAGCCATTAAGCAACCATGAATTTTGTGATAAATGTTTGTAGATACAAAATTCTGAAGTGGGTTTCTGAAGTTTTCAGTTTTTTTGAAATTTTCTTTCATCAGTAAAAATTATTGGTAAAATTGTTGTAATTACTAAAGTTATTATTTGTTAAAATTGTTCTTGTTATGAGAGGAACAGATATGTAAATCATATTCTTTCTCTAATAGACTTTGTTGTTATTCAGTCATTTTCCAGTCGTGTTCAACTCTTCATGACCCCATTTGAGGTTTTCTTGGCAAAGATATTGGAGTGGTTTGCCATTTCCTTCTCCAGCTCATTTTACAGATGAGGAAATTGGGGCAAACCGGGTTAAGTGACTGCCCACGGTCATACAGCTAGGAAGTGTCTGAGGTCACATTGGAACTCAGGTCTTCCAGAGTCCAGGCCCTGCACCCTTATCCACTGCACTACCTTGCTGCCTCCAGTAGACTAAATACTACACTATCTGACAAATTTGCACAAGGTGCCTATGGTTTACTTAATTTTTTCTAGTTCCCTTATTTAAAAACAACAACATGCCCCAAATCCGTGGCCAGTTAGTGGAACCTTTATTTAATCTTAGGCAGTTTCATTTGATCTCTCTGCCTTCTAATTCTCAGTTAGAACTGCAGGTTTATTTATGTAACTTTTGCATTTTATGGCATATATTATTTTGTGGGGAAGTATATCCCTCTCCTTAAGAAGCCAGTGCAGTGGATAGAGCTCTGGCCTTGGAGTCAGGAGGATCTGAGTTCAAATCCGGCCTCAGACACTTGACATTTATTACTGTGTGGTCCTGGGCGAGTCACTTAACCCCATTGCCTAGCTTGTTTTTCATGGAACCATTTTCTAATACATACCAAACATTCTTTCAAACAGGAGAATCCTTAAATAAAGTTGATCCTGAATTTGAGAAGGCTTTGAAAGGAGATGATTTTATCATTCAGTAAGTAGGTTTTCTATTTATATCCTTAGGGATCATTTTTGATTTTGAGTGGTAAAACCCCTCCTCCAAAATTATAAGACTCTTAAAGTCTGATTTAGGAGTAACCCCAATCACACAGTGGTTCATGTAATTGAACTTAATTTGTTGTCTTTTTTGGCAAGGCAGTTGCCAAATTGGGGTTAAGTGACTTGCCCAAGGTCACAGAGCTTGTGTCAAGTATCTGGTCTGAGAGGGGATTTGAACTCAGGTCCTCTTGCTTCTAGGGCCGGTGCTCTATTCACTGTGCCACCTAGCTGCCTCTTGTTTTTGTCGTTGTTCAGTCATTTTTTAGTTGTGTTCGACTCTGTGACCTCATTTGGGGTTTTCTTGGCAAAGACACTACAGTGGTTTGCCATTGCCTTCTCCACCTCATTTTACAGATGAGGAAACTAAGGCAAACAGGGCTAAGTGACTTGCCCAGGGTCACACCAATTTGAACTCAGGTCCTCCTCACTCCATATATGCAATCAAATTGTAATAAATTTGCTAATATTCTTTCTGTTTGTCAGGGAAAAGACAGTAGGCCAGGAGATGAGTATCTTGGGGAAATATTATTTCTGAGGAATTCCAGGGAAGGGTTGAAAGCTGAGGATAGTGATATTGGTAGATGTTCATGGAAAGGACAGGCAAAGAGATTTGGAATTTTTATAAAAACTTGGGATTCATAAATGGCTTAAAATAGGAATAATAATAGCTTAAATTTATATAGAATGTTTTCATCACAGAATTTCCTACTGAAAGAAATATGTTTCTCAGATATATTTCAGGAGAGTGGAAGGGGGTAGAAGGAACAAACTTTGTGGGTTTGGGCTTTTATTGAGGATTTTTAAAAAATTGCATTGCCTTGATGAAGACATACTTTTCTTTTTAATACTAATGCTCCATTTTATGTTTGACGCCATCTAAGAATTCCACAAAAATTCACATCATTGCGGAGTTAAGAGAGGTAAGGAGAGGTACTTGATGCTTATTCAGAGGCAAAATTAAATTTTTTTTTAAGGCAATTGGGGTTAAGTGACTTGACCAGGGTCACACAGCTAGTAAGCGTCAAGTGTTTGGTCTGAGGTCAGATTTGAACTCAGGTCCTCCTGACTTCAGGGCTGGTGCTCTATCCACTGTGTCACCTATCTGTTCCGGCAAAATTAAATTTAAGTGAAAATTGCTAAAGACTTTTGTGTGACTGTCCGTGATAATAATAGTCAACATTCCTATAGCTCCTCATGGTTTGCAAAGTATTGTGTAACTTATTTGATCCTCATTTTGACCCTTCAAGGTGCTAATTGTCCTCATTTCACACGAAGAAACTGAGGCCCAGAGGAGTCAAGTAATTTGCCCCTGGTAAAAATCGAGTGTCAGTGGGCAGCTAGGTGGTGCAGTAGATAGAGCACTGGCCCTGAAGTCAAGAGGACCTGAGTTCAAAACCGGCCTCAGACCAAGCACTTAACACTTACTAGCTGTGTTACCCTGGGCAAGTCACTTAACCCCAATTGCCTTAAAAAAAAAAAAGAAGAGAGTGTCAGAAAAGGGATTTAAAGTCAGGTCTATTGACTCTGAATCCAGTATCTGTTTTTGCTTTTGGTTTCCATCTCTGCATCAAACCTTCTTCTTCTTCTTCTTCTTCTTCTTCTTCTTCTTCTTCTTCTTCTTCTTCTTCTTCTTCTTCTTCTTCTTTTTTTTTGGCTAGGCAAACAGGGTTAAATGACTTGCCCAGGGTCCACAGCTAGAAAGTGTCAGGGGTCTGATTTCAACTCAGGTCCTCCCGACTCCAGGGTTGGTGCTCTATCCATTGTGCCACCTAGCTGCCCCCATCAAGCCTTCTTGGAAGTTTCCTCCTCCTCCTCCCCCTCTCTCCCCTCCTCCCCCTCTCTCCCCTCCTCCCCCTCCTCCTCTTCCTCCTCCTCTTCCTTCTTCTTTCTCTTCTTCAAAAAAAATTCTGCAATGTTACATCATCATTTTTGGTTATAACCAAACAGTCTATTATTCAGTTCTTTACCTTTTTCATTATTCTCTTTGGTCACAGATTTCTCTATGTAATCTTCAAAGTTTGACTTTGGAAGAGACTGGTTAATTATCAGAGTTTCAAATTTATTGACACTGAAGGACTGTGTAGACTTCCAGGGCCTCATCTAAAGATGGCTGACTTTCAGGCATTTATTTATTCTTTAGCTCTTTTTCTGAAGTGTTTTCTTTTCTTTTCTCTACTTCAACAAATTCTAGAAATTGTTGAGGTTTTAGTTTGAAATGCTTTTTAAGGAATTCTTGAAACTTATCTTGGTACAGGGGATAGAGCTCTGGGGTTGGAGTCAGGAAGACCTGATTCCAAATTCAGCGTCAGGCACTTACTAGCTGTGTGACCCTGGGCAAGTCACTTAACTTCTGTTTGCCTCAGTTTCTGTAACTGTAAAATGTGAATAATAACAAAATCTAACTCCCTGTGAGGATCAAAAGAGAATATTTGTAAAGTGCTGTGCATAGTAGTGTCTTATAAACGTTCGTTCCCTTCCGTTCTCCTCCCTAGATGACATGAGGATTTTCCAGCTTTGATATTACGTGTCAAAGCTTGTATTCCACCAGTATAGCCTTCAAGAACCCAAGGTCACCTCTGTGTTGTCATGAGTCACTGAAATGGGACTTTTATAGGGGACTAAAAATATGTCAAAACTTTTTTTGATCTTTAAAACTTTTCTTTGCTCCATTTCCCCCCCTGAGATTTGTGCATATTAGGTTTTTAATTTTTATTCTTTCCCTGATATTTGGGGTTAAGTACCAGTTTATTCTTTAATGATAATGACATCTTGTAAAGCATCTTGAATTTCCCCTAAAGTACCTCTTTTGGTAAACTTTTCATATTTTAGGATTGATCATTAATTACATTAGAGGCACATATAGATCTAACAGAATGTGAGTTCTTTGAGGGCAGGTATTAATCCCTAGTGCCCAGCATAGTGGCTGGCATACAGTAGGTGCTTAATAAATGCTTTTGGAATGATTGATATATACATGCATACAATAGAATCATAAAGAAGGAAATTACCTCAAAGATCAATTAATCCAACCTATTTATTTTACAAACAAGGAAATTAAAGGTGAGAGAAGCTAAATAATTTACCTAAGGTCATATAGCTAATTAGCAGCAGTGTTAGGACAAGAATCCAGATCTCTTTATTCCTAATAAGTTTACTATACTTTTTTTTTCAAAAGAAACACACACACACACACATGCGAGCAAAACTCTATGCTGTGGATGTACTATATATTGTGTCTTTGTATTCCAGTACCAGCATAGTGCTATCTATAGGAGTCTAATAAATGCTCATTGATTGACTTACTGATGCACATTGTGGAACATCTGTCACCAATTATAATCCATGTGTGCAGTTATAACTACTATTACCAGTGCTCAGTGAATAGTTAGTTGTGCATAATATAGTTGTGCATAAGTAGCTGTAGTACAAATATTCCCTTCTGATCCTCACAGGGAGTTAGGTTTTTGTTATTATCCCCATTTTTCAATTACAGAATTAGTACTCTGGGGCTACTTCCCAAGTCTCCATTCTCACTGTTAAGTAGTGTACCAGAACTTGAGAGGCTTCTTTCACCTCTAGGGGGACCCTGAGGTGTTTGGGGCTGTCTATTCCAGTGCTATAGCACAGGAGCCCCCACTAGCATGCTCCCCCCATGATTATCAGTTAATATGAGTCACCTTTTGTAAATAGGTCTTTACTTCAGTGGTATAGTTGGCACAAAATACTTTTCCACACTTGTGAGGGCACGTTCTTATACAAGTATGTAGAGAGGCCAGGGGAAAGCAGACTCAAGCAAATGTATAGCAAAGAGATAAACTCAGAATCCCTTTTCTCCTTTGTGAAATGCTCAAGAAGTTTCCTCTAGGCACGTTTTAGCTTCTCTGGGCTACTTGTGGAGGCTTGGAGCCTCTTGCTTCATCACATCCAGCCAGCTCAAGGTTTCCAATGTAGACACTGCCCCCAGCTGTTATTTTGGAAGATGTTAAGTGTAGTCTCATGGAAAAAGTCAAATCTTCCAACCTTCCAAAGTTCATGAGGTCCTCCATCCACTGAGGCTGGGGTGGGGTGAGGTGGGAGGTGAAGACAAGACTGAAATGGAGTACTCTCCCTCCCTACCCCACAAGTGACTTCTCGGTAACTCGGCCAGAATGCTCTCCCCTGAGTCCCCCATCACTCCAGTATCCTAGTTTTAAACTGATCTTCTATTTGATAACTCATGGGGGTGACTCAGTTTTTAAATCAATCTGAGCAGACTTCCTGCACATTGAAACTACAGTTTATCCAGTGGCTTTCAAGGACTTTTCACACTTAGTCTAAAGGTTATGATTGATTTGATTCAATCAAGGTATGTTCTCACCATGTTAAGGTATCAGGGTAGAGCATCTTATCACTTACTCTAGTGATTTGATTGACTTACTCTAGCAACTCTCACCCTTACACTTATATTTGTAGCTGCAGCCAATATTTAAAGAGCTGTTGATTGTGACTCTCTCTTAGACTTAAAATTATATTCCAAGCTTGTCTCCCAGATGTTTTTGTTTCCCAGCATTCCTATGCATTGTCACATTGTTTGAAGCTGTGCATCCTTAAGGTGCTTTTTCTGACCTCCCTGTTTATGGTATTTCTCCTTCACTTTGGTAGAAAATGGAAGCTAGGGTACTTTTTCCTTGTTCTTAGCACATGGTCAGTCTAGTAAAAATATGTCACAGTGTACTGGACCTGCTTTTGGGTGATCCTCATCCTATATGCCTGAGACATCTTTGATCTTAAAGTTATATATTCAGCAAGCTAATAAGCATAAATTAGGTGTCAGGAACTGTGCTAAGTTCTTTGTTCAGTCATCTCTGACTCTTTGTGACCCCATTTGGGTTTTTCTTGGCAAAGATACTGGAGTAGTTTGCCATTTCCTTCTCCAGCTCATTTTATAGATGAGGA